GGGCTCCAGCTCCCTGGAAATCACTGGAGCCAAATTCCTGCTTTTATTGCAACTCTTAGCATATTTGGGATTTTTTCCTAAAAGCCCCTCTCCCCCTTATGCACATGCAAACACACAAGCGCACTCCCACGCACTTGGAGTCAGGTTATTAACGGAGAACCTCCGACTTTATTTAGAAAGCAGGTGAGGTTTCCACCCCTCACCTGCCACCCGAAGAGCAAAGCTGGAAGATGAGAAGCCCAAACATTGTCACTCAAGACCACACACAAAAGGAATCCACATCTTGCTTTGTGATCTAATGGTTTTCAAGCACGTCTCTTTGTTCGCGGCCAGCTTTTGATGCCTGGGTGCCTGGAGCTGGAAAGGTATCCAGGGCAAAAGGTATCCAGGACAAAAGCAATCAGGACTCATGGTACAGTGATCTCTTTTATTAAACCAACTAGATTTTTGCAAATCCAATCTGGATATAAAATGAACTATTCCAAACTGAATATAAAATGGATATAAAATGAACTATTCAAACTGGATATAAAATGAACTATTCACCACACTTTCAACTCTCCTGTGAAACATGAACTTCAATTCTACCCAGGAGAGCTTTTACAGTCTTTTCTCCTATGCCTGAAGAAGGGTATTTGTGCTCAAAAGCTTGCAATTAAAACCATTTTTTTTGCAAAAAATCTAGTTGGTCTAATAAAAGAGAGCACCTCTGCCACAAGTCCTGATTGCTTTTGGAGTGGGAAAGGCAGACATCTCCCCCTGAAATGATGTCTCTAAAATCTGCTTGATCTTTTGGCACTGGCCATTTTTAAAAGCAGTCGTGCCAAAGTCATGCCGGTGAAACCTTGCCATCACCCCACCCCATCACACTGCCCTATTCACGCCCTGTATACACCTCCACAGCCTCGTGTCTTTTATGTTAGCCTTCCTATCGCTCGGTCTCTGCCGTGAGCACACAGGAGCAGTAAAAAAATTAGACTCCTTTAATCTGACGCTTTCTTTTGGATAAATCGCTATTAATCCACGACTAGATATTGGCAGGATTAGACCGTCACGTGAAAAACATCCACCGAAATGTTGAAAACATATGAGGGATATGAGCCTTTGTGCGTCAAGAGGCGAGTCAGCCATCTGGGCTTAAGAAGGAGCTTCCTCCTCCAGGGAGATCACTGTATAATCATCAATTATACGGGTTCTGCAGATCCCTCACAACATCTGCAGCAGCAGTCGCTACCGACGGGACGAGAGGAATTGCTGCTCTGCTCAGGCATCTGGCTGACAACTGTCCTTACAGCAGAGACAGGTGCGGAGAGCCCGAGCGCTGGAATCGGGGATGCTGCCGAGCCGCACGCTCCCTTGCTGGACAGGGGCCGCGGGAGCAGCTAAAAGCACAAGCACAAAGGAAAGACGGAGCAGGGATTCAACGTTTTGAAGCAGCGCAGGCTAGAAGAGAGCAATGAACAGCTCTCTACCTCCTGGGTGAGGGTTTGGCAACCCAGGGCCCCGGAGGGAGCGCGCTTCTGCAAGAGCCCTAATTATTTTCAGTCGCCAAGTCCCACGATTAACCCTTTATCATGTTATGCTCTGCAGAGAAAAACCTCCCCCGGAAACTTCCAATGAAACCCCACCACGATATTTATATTAGATGGAAGATGGTATGAAGGGCAAAGGTAGTCTTTCCCCCTCTCTCACGACTGAACTGGGGTAACCCTGCTCCCCCGGACTGTTTCAATGTTGAATCAATAGCTCATTACCAGTCTGAGCACAGCCAGCTGTTTTCTCATGGGTGAGATGCTCCGGGGTTTGTACCTTTTTCTCTGACTCCATCGCTGGTTGAGGGCCAAAGAGCAGCACATAAGCAGAGGTCTCTGCAGGGAGCAGAGGGCCCGACACTGCCTTTCCGTTGGAGGTAAGAGAGGGAAAGGATGCTATGACAAGACAGCAAATCAAACACATACCTTTAGAAAGGAACAAGGTGCAATTAGCCTGCGGAATTAATCGCCGCCGGGGATGAATGGCCAAGAGCATGAGAAAATGCACAGAAAAGGTAGAGGGAGAATAGGCGAACACAAATGCCCACAACTGTACCAGTAAATACCCCAGTGACCTACCTGCGCACACACGCACACACACAGGGTTTGAAACAGAAAGGGATTCAGATCTAGTGCTCTGCTTGGGGCCTGCCAGCCACAGGCATGGGATCCTCCCTACTGCAAAGTTTCTTGCAAATTCCCCTACGAGAGCATGATGGACCACTGAGCTACGAGGACTGCCGAACCGACCTCGTTGAGCTAGCCCTGTATACCTCTCCATCCCAAACCAAACCAAAGGGCTTCAACATGCAGCACATACTTCCTCCCTTCCTTCCTCCTATCAGTCAGTTAGCTCCACTGTTAAACGGTCGTTTTGGCCGCAGTCTCGTTACCCCGTGCTAGGGACTGAGACATGACGCATCTCTTGCATGCATTAGGCTTGTGGCTCCTAGGAGAGCTATCACTCAGAGAGTCTCAGCTTTAGCAGGTTCAAAAGTGTCAGTCCTAATGCGGCATTACACGAAGCTCTATTTGCAGCGGATGTTTGATTTGTTCCTCGGTCACTCAATAGCAGAGGGGGCGGATTAGCGGCACCTGAAAGTAGAATCCGCCCCAGTGGCAATCAAATAAGCATTTGTGCAATAGCAATGGGTGAACGCAACCACTGATGACAGGGGAAAAAAATCCACATCTATGTTTTCAAGCAATTCCAAAGAACCTCAGCCCTTCGAGAGCAGGTTTCCCGGGCACGAAGACAAAGGTATATCCAGACCCCGCTTCCCTTTGCAGCTTGGCGACAGGGCAGCTCTCCAAGGTTTGACAATGGCTAGAAAGGCAGCCCGGATTTTGTTAGTGCAGACGTGGCTGAAGAGATGTCAGGACACATTGATAATTGCGGTGGGCAAAGCCCTTTGATTTCAGCCGACAAAAGGTACGGCAGAAGGCAGCAAGGTGTTACGGCACCACCTGCTCGTGTTAATGGAAAACCTAGTTAAGCGAACCCCGCTGCAAAGGCGAGCGGCGAAGGGCAGTGAAAATTGATTCCGGACGGAAAAGAAGCAATTTACTGCCAAGGGCAAAGCAGGTAATAGCAAGGGTGGAAAGACTACGGCTTCTGGAATTTATACGGAGGAAAAACACACCGGCTTGCACACCCCTGCATGCACACACCGACATGCCCCAAAGCCACTGTCGTTTTGCTATTCTTGTTATCCTGTTGTGTGCGGCTGGGTGGGTCCTGACTGCCCTTGCGGGTGCTACAAGCGCTAGGACCGAGGCCCTGTAGTTTTGAGCCTTCTGACAAGACCCGACAGAAAAGAGACCCATCCAGGGATGCAACAGAAAACGGCAGCTCTGCCCCCGCCATGCAGGATGGAGAAGCCGTGATCAAAATCAAAGTGCCCACGACAACGTGAAGGTGCTTCCGCGCTCTCTGCTCTGACAGGAAGGGGGAGGCTTTTGTATTTCAGCCGCTTTCGCCTCCCGCGTGCAAGAGAGTGGCACCGTCACGCCTTCCCCAACACGCTGTTTCAAAGGGCCTCGAAGAATCCCACGTTCCCAAAGGTGAAAACCACGCAGAGGCCTTTCGTCCTATCCCTGCCCCAAGCAAAAAGCATAAAATAGAAGGGAAAAGCAGGTGAGAGGAGGAAAAAAAGGGAAACAGGATCCTCCTCTCCTACCTGCAGCACCATATAGGACTGGTCTGACCCCAGCACTGGTCATCTGACCCCAGCGCTCTTTCCTGCCCAGGGCAGAGACTCGGACTCGAAGATCTAATAGATGACCCTAAAATCTATGAAATCTAGGACTGCAAAGCATTTCAGTTGGACCACATCTCACAAACTTATCCCCAGTTTTGCAATACTCACTGTCAAGCCTCAGCTCTTGGAGCGGTGGGATTCTGAAGGAATCCTGCTTTTCTTTTTTAAAAATTATTTTTTTACTTCCTGAAAGCATTACCCCTTCTCAGCACAAAGGCCAGATGGCGAAATAGTAATAAAAGCTCAACATGTGTTGAAGTCTCATGATATTTAACCTCCTTTCTTGTGATTTTGGGGGTTTTTTTAAACACTTCAAGCTCATGCCAGCTGTAAGACCAGCGGACTTGAGGGCACAATATTGCATCGGTAGCCACTTCTGCAAAACTGCACCCTCCTCGTATATAATGCTGATGAGGCCTTTATAAGACTGATGTGAATATCCAAACTAAAGACAATACACAGTGGGTTTCATTTGCAAGGCGCCCAGATGCCTTTGTAATGAGGCAGAAAAAAAAGGGAACAGCAAAACCCTGCCCAAGGAAAGGACCAATTCACTCCCCACGGGCCAGCCAAGCAAGCCATCTTCAAGCAGAGGCTGCTTCCCCGATGGTGCTTACCAGGAATATTGTGTATCGTTATCGCCAGGATCAGCAGCATAATCCGCCTCCAACTGCTGCATCCCGGCGTCGGCACAGCATCTCTGGAAGTCAGGAAAGCGGCCGGCTCTTCGGGCTGGACAGATCCCCCTCCTTTCCTCCTCTGGTAGGGCTCCCCGTTCTCACCTTTGTCTGAGGGTTAGAAAGCATAAGCCAAGGTCAATGTGGCAGACAGCAGGTCTGCTCCTGAAAAAGGTCCCCACCTCTCCACCCATGCAAGAACAGCTGGAAAGATGCAGATTCAAACTCTCCCAGGGGGTTTCATTGCAATTTAACTTAGTGCCAGCCTGTCTGCAAGCATAAGCTAGGAAGCCTTCAGGGACAACACAGCAGCCTGCACGGGCACCGGCACCAGGCTCCATACCCAGCTCACTGGCAGGAGCAACACGGACAACATTAAACCCACCGTGTCATCCAGACCTGCTGCGAGGAGGGTTAGACATTGCTGAGCGCTCAGTAGGTGGGTCCATCAAAGCCTTCACTCAGAGGGAAGACAGGGCAGCCCCGTGGAGACTTTCTACTACCTCGAGACTATTAAAGGGCCCCAAAAGAAGCCACTTCAAGCCCATCCTGTCCTCATCCCCTGCAGGTTGATCCCCAAAAGCTTCAGTTTGCTGAGGGAAGAAGACGCCGTTGCAGAGAGATTTATTTGATGGCAAACTCCCTGCCGGGGGGCTGCAAAAAGGATGGAGCTGGGCTGTTCTCAGTGGGGGCAGATGGCAGGGCAAGGAGCAATGGGCTCAAGATGCAGCAAGGAAAGTTGAGGTTGGATATTAGGAAAAACTCTCCCACTAGGAGGGTAGTAAAACACCTGAACAGGCTACCAGAGAGGTGGTGCAGTCTCCATCCTTGGAGGTGTATAAGACCCAGGTAGACAAAGCCGTGGCTGGGATGATGTAGTTGGGGCTGGGCCTGCTTCAAGCAGGGGTTGGACTAGAAGTGACCTCCTGAGCTCCCTTCAACCTGAATTTTCTAGGATGCTACGATTCTGTTTTAGGCCTCACGATGCTGCTGATACAGTGCCACCCTCCAACCATCTTCAAAAAACCTTCGTTTTCATTTGACAAACCAAAGCTCTGAGTCCCCCAGACCTGTGTTTCCAGCAGGACGAGGACTAGCCCTACCCTGTATTTTGGCCGATGAAGTAAAACCCAAACACCAACTGGGACAGCAAAAGGGCAGAAGCACTAGCCGGGGTATAATAAGAGACCTAATAGGAGCGAGAGCCTTCCTGTTCACCTTTAGCTTGAAAAGGCGAAGTGACGCCAAGAAACGACATGGGCAGCAATTCCTGGACACCACACAGGCAACAGCTGCCGCCTTGTACTAAAGGAGATCTGACATTTCAGATGCATTGAATTCTCTCCCCGACCCCTCCTCTCCTGCCCAGGAATTTTTGGTGCTGACAAACAAGTGTAAGAAGTCGTCTGAAACTGTTTGGATCGAATGTCAGCTGCTTCCCATGCCATTTCGAGGCTGGATAATGCTCGACTGTCACGTCGCACTTTGCAAAGCACGCACTTTCAATGCCAATTAAGAAGCTTAGCATAAAAGCGTTCATGCAAATCAACACGCCAGGTCATCCCGGGAAAGCGGGGGTGTCACTTTTGTCACTCACATCTTGCCATCTGTAATAATAATAAAAAAGAAAAAGAAAAGAAATGGCTTAAAAGCTTTCTGAGGAGGTTCTCGACAGCACGCAACAAAAAAAATCTGCCGGGGTTAAGTAGGGAACAGCAAGGAATTAACACATTTTAGCAATCAGAAGCCATCCGGGAAGCCTGAAATGCAGACATCAAAATTCAAGCAATCAGGCAGCCAAGTCGAGTCAAAGTCAGTCCCGAGGCTGCTGCGACCACTGGGGCACCTTGGATGCTGGGCATCACTTGTGATTGTGCGGGCAAAGTGACCCAGTGGTGCCCATCTCCTCTCCAGGTAGGGACGGCCACTGGCTCGCAGGAGGCTCATCCACCTTTGACAGGTTTTGTTTTTAGTCCTGCTGGGCATCCACACACCCTCCCACCCAGGCCAGTGCAGGTGGGGGTGCTGGTTTAGTAGCTGACAACCCAATCATGAAACAGGCTGTACTGGTTTACATGGTACCAGACAGCAGACCAAGAGAGGCCTGGCCTGGCGGGGTGCATACAGCCACCCCTGCCATACAGCAATGCCTCGGACTGGGGCCACCAGCTCTGAACCCGTCTGTCCACAGATGTTCGCACTTCTCCTTCCAAAACAGCTTCTTCTGGCAAGTTGGCTGTCACCGCTGCTAACAACCTAATGCAAATATTATTGCCACGATAAAACCAGGCATCTTGTCCTCCCCAAATTCTAGCTGAACCATAGGATATGGGAATGCATTGGTTAATCATTACATCCTGTTTTTCCAAGCATAACTGGTTCTTATTTATCAGGGTAGAAAAAGCCAAAAAGCAGATCTGACATGGAAAGGACCAGCCCCAGAGGGTCTTTTCTGATCTACTGCAGGTGGAAGGGCTTGGCTTATCATCATTTAGCTCTAATTTCTTAGGAAGTCAGTCCCTTGACTGTGAACCTTACCACTCAGTCCATGATGAGGGCTGTGTAGGATTGGAAAGGCGAGGGAGGTAAACCCTTACCCACCAAACAGGAGAGAGGAGCAGCAGCTCCGTCTCACCTGCCCAGACAAGGAGCAGTTAGACGTACATTAAACGGTGGATGTGGCTTAACAGATATCAAGGAGTCAACTAAATTCCCCGTGCTCTCACCCACATCAGCAATGCCTGCAAGTGCATCAAAGCGTCTTTCTCCCTTAATTGCAGGGTCTGAAGAGTGGTCGCCTGCAAGATGTTCTCCTCTGGCTTACCAAGCCAGGCTTCAAACACTCGAAGCGACGGGGTGCTGTCTACCTCCCCATGACGGACTCCGCCCCAAGACCAACAGATCAGAGAGGTCTGGGCTTGTCGGCAAGGTTTTCAGTGTAAGGTATTGGTTCCCATGAACTCTTCCAGTTGCATCACGAGCTCCACCTATGCTTCGCAGGCGCCAGTCCTCTCTCTGTTCCCATGCAAGTAGCACCCTTGTTTGATTTTGTGCCTTCTACTGCCTCCGGAGACATGCAATCATCTGGGCATCACCACAGCACCCTTTTAGAGGAGGCAGAAATGGAGAATACTACGTGCATGGCTGCAGGACACCTTGAAGTGTCCCACAGCTGCAGATGCAACGCTTATCAGGGGAGGGGACTGCACGCAGGAATAGCAGACAAAGGAGCTCTGGTTACAGATGGACCGGTGCAGATGCCAAACCCTGGAAGATAAGATGAACAGCAAATTGGTGGGCTGTGAATTGATGCCAGTCATCTCCTGAGCGGTGCTAGAAACTGCTGTTTCTTCGGGGAGTCCCTGGTGCTTCCTTTCCAGAGGGAGCTGCCTTACAATCTCTGCAAGGAGCTCAGGGAACTCCTTCACATGCCTTCAAGCTTTGCAAGGGAGGCCCCAGCTTCCTAAAATAACAGCCCTGGCTTTGAGCCTCATGGATCGTGAATGCCAGCAAGGAAGGAGGGCGCTGAGGCAGCTCCCCGGCAAGGACACCCCATACACATCCAGGCACCGATGCTTCCTCAGGCAGTTGTGCTTTGCAAGGTCCCTGAACAACGAAGGCAAAGCTCTGAAATCACCACGTGCCCGAAGCACGTGCCCCGCTGCTCGACAGGCTTTGCACTCGTGTCGATGAGATGGCAATGGGAACCAGCCGCACGATCAAGTGGGTGACGACTGAGCTGCCGTTCAAGCCCGCTTGACAAAAGCCACTGGCCTGGCTGCTATGGGCAAGTGCTGCAGGTTGAGCCCCCTTTCCTCCCTGAAGAGAGGACCCCTGGAAGGCAGCACCAAAAGCAAGATGCTGCCCTTCCCTCCGGAGGAAAACAGGGCAACAAGGCTCAGAGCAATCTGCTCCGCACAGCACATGGAAATCTCTCTTGCAAATACCTTTATTATCCTGCCTCCCACTCATCCCTGGCTTCCAGTAGCTTCAGGAGCGCACTCACAACAAAGGGAGGAGAACAGCACACACACAGTAATTACCGTATCCGTGCCTGTTTAATTGTCGTGCAACTTTCACCGTCGATACGCTTGTAAAGGCTATGAGCGCGCAGGAAGGCATAAGCACCTTACAGGTGAGAGGACCCAGCTGGCGGAGGCTCGCAGTCGGCGCTCCAGCCCTTCCCGGCTAGACTGCAGCTGGCTTGGGTCGGCTGACACAGCTGCAGTCAGCCTTGACCTGCCTTGAGCGAAGCAGAGAATTGCAGCACAAGCTGAAAGAAATGCAAAGCTCTCAAACTCTGGGTTCAGAGATTATACCTTTTATTAGACCAACTAAGAAATTGCACACACAAAAAAATATCATCTTTCTTTGCAAGCTTTCAAACACACGCACCCTGCTTCAGAATGAAAGATGGTCAAAGTCTCCATGGGCAGAAAATAAACTTTGTTTTGCACAGAGGAAGCTGAAGGTACTCCTCTGGGTCCTTTGCGTGACTTGCTCTTTGACGGGCAGATAAGGCAGATAATCTCTCCTTGTTATTCAGCAATAACGTTTGTAATTCCAAGCTGAAGTCACTTATAGAGAGAGAGATGGCAACTACCTGCAGCGCCAGGCTCCCAGACTGCCTTAATACCCTGGCATGGCTAGTCCCCAAGTTCGACCACAAACCGCTTATGCCGTGCTTAAAACCAGCAACTCTTCCCCTCCACCCTCCGCGACGGGATCAGCCTAAAGCATTTATAGGGAAATATCACATTTAAATGGAGAGCCTCCTCCGCACTGCACCTTTAGCTGCCTGCTCGCATGCCGACTCCCCCGGCTGAGGACGAATGTAACTCAACCCAAGGGAGGCACAGCTTGGATTGACACGTGAATGACAAGAACCAGGTAGCCAACGTGGGAGAAAAGTAATGAGCAGGAG